GTATAGGACTACCAGCATGTGGATACACACGAAGCCTGTGCATCCCTGTGTCGGTAAAAATAGGCCCTGCACGTAGCACAGGCTACAATGCCATGTGTGAAGGAGGCCTAGTAGCTGACTATCCCTTCAATTGAATCCGGGGGGGGGTAGAGGCAAGGCATCAGGGGCGGACTGACAACTCATGGGGCCCCCGGGCAATAGGGGATCATGGGGCTCCTGTGTCCTTGCCCAAACTCAAAAAAGCCTATGAAAAAGGTACCAGGGGCATCTCATGGGGCCCCCCTACTGACCCCGGACCCTCGGGCAGTGCCCGAGTTTCCAAATGGTCAGTCCACCCCTGGAAGGCATTGTTTGTGGGTTTGCAAACAGGGTTTGCCACTGGAACCACACTTCTAGCATCAGGCCTGTCCCGCCATGAAGGGCGGTTGAGAAAAGCCAGAGGTGCAAAACCACGTCCTTCAATGGAGACTGTTTCCATAAAAACTATCTAAAAGGGGAACCCCCTCACTTAGGCTGCATTCACACGGGGCGTACTGCAGCATTCCGCTAGGGAACTTTTCCTTCACTTCCTGTAATGGAAACACAACAGGAAATGAATGGACATTATTACCAAGGCCTACACTATATTGCCAAAAGTATTGGGCTGCCTGCCTTTACACGCGCATGAACTTTAATGGCTCCCCAGTCTTAGTCCGTAGGGTTCAATATTGAGTTGGCCCCGCCCTTTGCAGCTATAACAGCTTCAATTCTTCTGGGAAGGCCGTCCACAAGGTTTAGTAGGGTGTCTATGGGAAGGTTTGTCCATTCTTCCGGAAGCACATTTGTGAGGTCAGGCATTGATGTGATACGAGAAGGCCTGTAACAGAATCTAATATATAAGTGAGCTCTGGCGATATCTGGGGAGCAGCTAGCACACAAGGTGAAGGTAACAATCCCTACAGTAGTAATGTAAGAAAGTTAAAAATGATTGCAGAATGGTAAATGCAAAATCTAAAAATCTAAAATATGGTAAAGTGCATCATGAATGTATTGAGTTGAGTGAAACAGTAAAGTGCATCAAGTAAAAGCATGAAAATATCAGCTAAACAACTCAAAAAGCAAATGCAAAACAGTAAAGTGTATCACAGGCAGAATCTATATACAATAATGTCCGTGGTGATCCGTGAAGTAAAGTGCAGTAGTAAATGATGTTACAATATAAAATCTGAGATATATAAATAGGATAAAACTCTACATCAATGTCCGTGGTGCTAATTATATAGTCAGATATCCATAAATGGAAGCAATTGTCCGTGAAACCATAAGGCACAGTAAAATTAAAGTACAGAGTACAAATGTGCTGATGATCACACAAAAGAATCCACCACCTCTCTTGAATGTACACTCACCAGATGAAAACATGTAACAGGTAATCAAGCATTAAACATCTGAGAATGGAAGGCTGACAAAGGGTTAAACCGGACCAAATTCATCCTGGGCAAAGGGTTGGGAAGACAGTACTTGTCCTAGAGGGAACAGGTCACCACAGGAGCCAATAAAGTTTTAGATAGTGCAGTATTTAATGGAACATTAAAAAAATATCCACGTGGAGACAAATCAAAAAGCATAAAAAGTGTACCAAGATGGCCACCGCTCCGACCATCGGCAGCAGCGTCGTGACGTCAGCAAATAGTGGCTCCACCCAACACGTTTCGGGCGCATGCATGTCCTCAGGGGTACGCCTATACGAGAAGGCCTGGCTCGCAGTCTCCGCTGTAATTCATCCCAAAGGTGTTCTGTCGGGTTGAGCTCAGGACTCTGTGCAGGCCAGTCAAATTCCTCTACCCCTCCATGTCTTTATGGACCTTGCTTTGTGCACTGGTGCGTAGTCATGTTAGGCCATCCCCAAACTGTTCCCACAAAGTTGGGAGCATGACAAAATATCTTGGTTTGCTGATGCCTTAAGAGTTCCCTTCACTGAAACTAAGGGGCCAAGCCCAACCCCTGAAGAATAAGCCCCCACCATAATCCCCCCTCCACCAAACTTTACACTTGGCACAATGTACTGTAGTCAGGCAAGTACTGTTTTCCTGGCAACCGCCAAACACAGACACGTCCATCGGATTGCCAGACAGAGAAGCGTGATTGGTCACTCCAGAGAACACATCTCATCTGCTCTAATGTCCAGTGGTGGCATGCTTTACACCATGGCATCCCACGCTTTGCATTGCACTTGGTGATGGAAGGCTTGGATGCAGCTGCTCGGCCATGGAAACCCATTCCATGAAGCTCTCTACGCACTGTTGTTGTGTTAATCTAAAGGCCACACCAAGTTTGGAGGTCTTTAGCTATTGACTCTGCAGACAGTTGGCGACTTCTGCGCACTGTGCACTTCAGCATGCTCTGACCCCGCTCTGTCATGTGACGTGGCCTGCCACTTGGTCGCTGAGTTGCTGTTCTTCCCAGTTGCTTCCACTTTGTTATATTCCCACTAACAGTTGAGCGTGGAATATTTAGTAGCCAGGAAATGTCACGGATGGACTTTTTGCACAGGTGACAACCTATCACGGGACCACGCTTGGAGTCACTGAGCTCCTGAGAGCGACCCATTCTTTCACCAAATGTTTGTAGAAGCCGTCTGCATGCCTAGGGGCTTGATTGTATACACCTGTGTCCATGGAGGGGATTGGAACACCTGAATCACATGATTGGGAGGGCGGGGCCAATACTTTTGGCAGTATAGTCTATACTGTAGCCCTCCAGCGGAGACTGTTTCCATTAAAGGGCAACCCCCCCTCACTTAGGCCTCATTCACTTGGGTGTACTACAGCGTACGGCTGCACAAGGGCCACGTTTGCCTGCAAGGGGATGCCCAGGGGTTCCGTGCATTCCAGTACAGGCAATCCTGTTCGTGTCAATTGGGACTCAGCAGCTACGTGGACTCAGTCGTTGCTCCCCTATTGGACATCCAAGTAGGGACATGGCCCCTGAACGCACACCATCTGCGTTTGGAGTCGTACACCCACTTGGTGGTCAAATAGGGAGCAGTGGCTGTCTCCATGGGGCTGCTGTGTCCCAACTGACCTGAATGGGACTGCCTGTGTGGGGATGCACGGAACACCCGAGAACCCCCATGTGGGCAAACACGGCCCTTGTTAGGGCATACACTGTAGTGTGAGAACCAGTGGTGCTCCTCCCCCCATTTTTTAGACAGTTGTAATGGAAACCATCTCCATTGGAGGCCTGAGTCCTAATATCTGTTTACTTCCTGTTGTGTTTCCAGGACAGGAAGTGAAAGGAAAGTTCCCCAAGGGTATATAGATGACAAAAAAAACCTCACGTAGGTTTTAAAAACATCACAAAGCAAAATCTGTGTGAAGTTTTAAAACGCATGCAGGTTTAAGTTTTAACCAAAGGTTCAGGGAAACCTCTCATTTTGAAGTAGTTTTTTTAAACACAATAAAAGGTTTTATGGGTGAGAGATATGTCCAAGGAAACATGCACAAAACCTTAGAAAAATAGGATCAACTATCAGGCCACTGGCAAGCTTTGCTGGGATTTGTAGTGACCTCTGCAAGGCCTCCAGCACTGAGAACTACAACTCCCACAATGCCCCGCGTCCCTCCGCCCGGCCTTGGTGTGGGCGCGGCACCGCGGTGCATGATGGGAGTTGTAGTGCCGGCGGCCGGCGTCACGTTGCTCTGGGCTGGTGAGCGGGAGGCAGCGGTAGCCATGTCTCTGGTGGCTTACGCTAGCAGCGAGGAGAGCGGCTCGGACTCGGAGACAGCACCGGAGCCACGGAAGGAGTCAGCACCCCCTCCGCCTCTGGTCCAGGCCGAAGCCGCGGCCTATCCTGCGCCCTACAGCCGCCAGGGGGAGCAGGAGCAGCACAGCCCCGGGTACTATGGTCCCCCAGGAGGGGTCTACGGCCTGCCCTACCCGCCTGGATATGGGCCCCCTCCTAACTATGGCCCTGCGGCCTATGGGGCCCCTGCCTACCCTGCCAGTCCGGGGCCCCAGGGTATGGGGCCTATAACAGCCAGGGGCCTGGGACTGCCAGCTACCCCAACATGGGGTACAGTCCTGCAGGGTACCCCCCACCTGGCATGAACCTGCCTCCACCACAGGGGGTGCCAGGGGTCAGCATGCCCCCAGCTCTTGGAGGGCCGCCGGGCATGAACCTACCACCCCCGCAAGCGGCATCGAGCATGAACCTACCACCCCCGCAAGCGGCATCGAGCAGGAACCTACCGCACCCCCAAGGGTCATCGGGCATGAACCTACAGCCCCCACAAGGGTCATCGGGAATGAGCTTGCCACCCCCGCAAGGATCATCGGGCATGAACCTCCCACACCCGCAAGGGTCATCGGGCATGAACCTCCCACACCCGCAAGGGTCATCGGGCATGAACCTCCCACACCCGCAAGGGTCATCGGGCATGAACCTCCCACACCCGCAAGGGTCATCGGGCATGAACCACCCGCAAGGGTCGTCAGGCATGAATCTCCCGCACCCACAAGGGTCATCGGGCATGAATCTCCCGCACCCACAAGGGTCGTCGGGCATGAACCTCCCGCACCCGCAAGGGTCATCGGGCATGAACCTCCCGCACCCGCAAGGGTCGTCGGGCATGAACCTCCCGCACCCGCAAGGGTCATCGGGCATGAACCACCCGCAAGGGTCATCGGGCATGAACCTCCCACACCCGCAAGGGTCATCGGGCATGAACCTCCCTCACCCGCAAGGGTCATCGGGCATGAACCTCCCGCACCCGCAAGGGTCATCGGGCATGAACCTCCCGCACCCGCAAGGGTCATCGGGCATGAACCTCCCGCACCCGCAAGGGTCATCGGGCATGAACCTCCCGCACCCGCAAGGGTCATCGAGCATGAACCTCCCGCACCCGCAAGGGTCATCGGGCATGAACCTCCCGCACCCGCAAGGGTCATCGGGCATGAACCTCCCGCACCCGCAAGGGTCATCGGGCATGAACCTCCCGCACCCTCAAGGGTCATCGGGCATGAACCTCCCGCACCCTCAAGGGCCATCGGGCATGAACCTCCCGCACCCTCAAGGGTCATCGGGCATGAACCTCCCGCATCCTCAAGGGTCATCGGGAATGAACCTACCACCGCCACAAGCTGGCCAGAGTATGAACTTACCCCCGCCTCAGGGGTCCACAGGAATGAACCTCCCTCCCCCGCACAATGGGCCTGGTATGACCATGCCCCCTCCCCCCGGCAGCCAGAATATGAACCTCCCGCCCCTGCACAGCACATCGGGACTGAATTTGCCACCACCCCAGGGTGGCTCCGGACTACACTTGCCCCCTCCCCAGAACACACACGGCATGAACCTCCCTCCCCCGCAAAGCGGGCACGGACTGAACCTCCCTCACCACCAGGGTGGTCTTGGAATGAATCTCCCTCCCCTGCAGTCCGGTCCCTCCGGACACAACATGCCTCCCCCGATGGGCGGACACGCTATGAACCTTCCACCTCCACAGGTCGGGGCCGGGCTGGGCCTGCCGCCGGCGATGAACATTCCCCCTCCGCAGCTGAGCCCAACGTCACCGTCCGGAGCAGAGCCGCGTATGCCGCCTCCGAAACCCACCAGCCACGGGCTGAACCTTCCACCCCCGGAGAGCGAGAGTTTGGGGAATTCCAAGCCGAAGAAGCGTTCGGAGCCCATCAGGATCAGCGTCCCGGAGCTCCATGGCGGAGATGTGAGTATTTCGATCTAAACCATTGAGGCTTCAGACATCAGTGCAGTCGGTGGGCAGTGTGAGTGTTTTCTTCTAACAGCAAGCTCACAGAGAAAGAAATACATAGACAGTAGGGATGAGCTCAGGAATGAGTCCCAACCTGCCTGTGCTATCCCGCCACAAAGCTGTCACTGTGGACAGCCAATCATAGGTGGCGGAGGCATTCAGGTATACATGTCCTGTGTATATATGCTGTGTCTGAGTGGGGAATGCATCAGCCACCAGGGATTGGCCGCCCACAGTGACGGCTTCCTGGCGGGATAGCTCAGGTGGGGTGGGACTTGTCTCTGAACAGTCTGAGCTCATCTCTGATTGACAGCTAGAGCAAATGGGTTTGTTTACTAATAAACCCGATGTGATCACCAAGTCATAGTTGACCTGGTGATCACATGATGTGGAGCCATGCTGATTGGTTTCTAGCTAACCCACCAGATTGCATGATCTGGTCGGCTACTAGAGATCAGGAGCTTTAGGCTGGCCATACACTATACAATTTTTTTTACAATTTTCTGTCCAATTTCTGCCCAATTTCCTTTAGATTTACCTTCAGCTATGTAGTGCAAGGGCCCGCCTAATTCGATACAAATGAAAATGTTGTTTAGGTTTGACCTATTATATGGTTTTTGGTAAATCTAAAGAAATATTCTCAAGAAAATTGTATAATGTATGGCCAGCCTTAGGGGTCAGCAGCATGCTTATGCAGGCCATAGACGGGGAGAAAACCGGCCGTTTTTTTAACAAAAAAAAAACGAAAAAATCAGTCGTTCAATAGGCCGATGTTACCACCAACAGTAAAAAAAATCGACCAATTTTCTTCCCGTCTATGGCCGGCATTTAATTACATCTGTCCCTGCAGAGAGCCCCGCTATTATATTTGACATTAAAAAGTATTGCGGTTGCAACAATGTATCTATTTGTATCCGTTTCGGATACAGATGGTATTTTCAGATACAAATGGATACATTGTTGCAACCGCAATACTTTTTCATGTCAAATATAATAGCGGACTGGAATTCTTCTTTCTCTTCTTCTTCTTCATCTTTCTCTTCCTCTTCTTCATCTTTCTCTTCCTCTTCTTCATCTTTCTCTTCCTCTTCTTCATCTTTCTCTTCCTCTTCTTCATCTTTCTCTTCCTCTTCTTCATCTTTCTCTTCCTCTTCTTCATCTTTCTCTTCCTCTTCTTCATCTTTCTCTTCCTCTTCTTCATCTTTCTCTTTCTCTTCCTCTTCTTCATCTTTCTCTTCCTCTTCTTCATCTTCCTCTTCTTCATCTTCCTCTTCTTCATCTTCCTCTTCTTCATCTTTCTCTTCTCCTTTCTCTCCTTTCTCTTCTCCTTTCTTTCCTTTCTCTTCTCCCTCTTCTCCTTTCTCTTCTTCCTCTTCTTCTTTCTCTTCTCCCTCTTCTCCTTTCTCTTCTTCCTCTTCTCCTTTCTCTTCTTCCTCTTCTCCTTTCTCTTCTTCCTCTTCTCCTTTCTCTTCTTCCTCTTCTCCTTTCTCTTCTTCCTCTTCTCCTTTCTCTTCTTCCTCTTCTCCTTTCTCTTCTTCCTCTTCTCCTTTCTCTTCTTCCTCTTCTCCTTTCTCTTCTTCCTCTTCTCCTTTCTCTTCTTCCTCTTCTCCTTTCTCTTCTTCCTCTTCTTCTTTCTCTTCTTCTTCGTCATCTTTCTCTTCTTCTTCGTCATCTTTCTCTTCTTCTTCGTCATCTTTCTCTTCTTCTTCGTCATCTTTCTCTTCTTCTTCGTCATCTTTCTTCGTCTTCTTCTTCGTCATCTTTCTCTTCTTCTTCGTCATCTTTCTCTTCTTCTTTTTTCTTCTTTCTCTTTTTCTTGCAGGTCACGGCTAATGCGCAGATTTTTTATCGGTAAAAAGATCGGCCGATTTGCCCATCATTGCCGCGAAAATCGGGTGATTGGCAAAATCGGCCGATTTTTTTTTTTCCAACTTTACTGATCAAAAAAATCTGACAAAATCCGGAAAAACTGCCGACCAATTAACCCATTAACGGTGCAAAAATCGGCCGATTTACGACCCATCTATGGTTTGCATTAGTGTGAATGGGAACATAAATAAATCCCCTCTCCAGGCAAAATACGATCATTCAGCAAGTTTTTTTTTTTTCGTTTTTGTTTTTCTTACTTGGTAAAGTAAGTTGTACTTACCTAAAGCAGCCCATAGACTATGCAATTTGGAAGGAAAGGAAAAAAATTCTCGATTTCCCCCATCACAGTCAGTGTTGATGGGGGAATCCTTCCCGCAGCGCTATTATGTTTTGCCGGCGGGGAGCCTTCTCTGCTGGCAGAACACATTGATCACTGCTGGCAGCTATAGCCACCGGCAGTGGTCACATGGAAAATAAATTCTGACGGCTGCTTCTACTGAAGTCGATCGATGGGTCGACTTCAGTACAACCAGCCTGTCCATAGATGGATCTTATCCCGGCCAGTCTCTGTTGAACCGACAGAGATTCAATCCATCTATGGCCGGCGTAAAGTGATTGTAAACAAGGGGTGGCCCCCGACCTCAGGGAAAGGCAAGCCCGGGGTCAGCAACCAGTCCATCGTGATCTGGGCAATCCCAGAGCATCAGAGTGCACCGGGTCGGCGCCAGCAGTTGAGAAAATGGGCGGCCGCAGAGGGAGCAAGAGCCACATAAGCTGGTGCTTCCTTTATAGCGCCAGCGCCTGTCCTGGGTGGAGTGATACCAAGTGTACCATGTGACCTCTGTGATCATTCACAGATTTCACAAGTAGTAAGCAATGATGTCAGGAAGTGACATTATTTATTTCAGGTACTTATATAGTGCTGTCAATTTACGCACACATATATTGTACATTCACATCAGTCCCTAACCCTCAAGGAGCGTACAATCTAAGGTCCCTAACTTACATTCATATACTAGGGCCAATTTTGACAGGATCCAATTAACCTACCAGCATGTCTTTGGAGTGTGGGAGGAAACCGGAGTACCCGGAGGAAACCCACGCAGGCACAGGGAGAACATGCAAACTCCAGGCAGGAGGTGCAATGGCTGGGATTCGAACCAACGACCCTAGTACTGCCAGGCGGAAGTGCTAACCATTTAGCCACTGTGCTGCCTACTACTCTTCATGTGATCACTGATTGGCCAATTACAGAGGTCCCGTACAGTGATCGGTGTTCTGGACACAGCGGGCACCAGACTTTTTTATGTTACAAAAAATCTGACGAATATATTTTAAAAACATATTTTTTAAACATATTCTTTAGATTTTTTTTAACATATAAAAAATCATTTTAACATATATTTTCACATATATATGTAAATGCATTCCAAAAAAAAATGTAGATTTGTATTTTTAAAGACATACAGTATAATTGAAAAATCTATTTTTAAAAATTCTTTTTCATTTTTCATATATTTTGTAATAAAAATGCATGTCAACATTTCACTGTGTGTGTATGTATGTATGTATGTGTGTATATATATATATATATATATATATATATATATATATATATTGAATACGGCCAAAATTTTAGCATTTCATATATATGTCAATATATTTGGGAAGAATATGTTTAAAATATATTTCAAATATATTTTTCTTCCATGTGGGCTGCTCCAGGCATCTCCTGTGGAAAGCTGAGTGCTAAGGAGGCACCGGGCACCAGTGCATGTGCCTATAGACACACACAGAACTGTCAAAGGATACGTTCACCTTTTTAGAAAAAAAAATAATAAAACGCACATTTTTTTTTTTTTGCAAAGTATTTTTAAAATATATTTTTTCTTCCATGTGGGAGGGACAGGATGACAACACTGGCAGGAAAGGAGGTAAATGGGCAGGTTAGCCTAACTTTAGTATTTTTACTCTGTACAGTAGCAGGTTGCAGCATGTCCCCGTGTGCTGCGTTCTCATGCACTGCATACCTAAGCACTTGTTTTGGTGAGAACGGGACACAGAGAGAGCAATTGTCTTCTCCGTGTCCTTGTGCTGAGCTTGCATTGATCGATGCACCTGGTCTGAACGAGCGCTCAGCCGAGCATGCTGCTGCCAGATCCGTACTGTGAAGCCGGACAGCCACGACTGCTAGAAAAACCCGTTCACGTCTCACGAGAGTTCATAGGAAACTATACAGAAGTATACTGCAGTCATTGAGGTGACAAATCAGCATGCAGATTTTATTTTTTACTTCTGCTGATCCAAGTGAATATACACGGGGTCATCTGTGCCAACTTCATTGACCCCCGAACACCGCCAATGCCATTTTTGTAATTAATGTGGAATTATCAGTAATTGTCCTTTCTAATTTATTTTCCAGTCCGACTCAGAGGAAGATGAACCATTCCGGAAGAAAGCAGCAAGTCAGGTAAGACTCAGTCATGTGACCATTAAAGGGATCCAACTAGCCTTTTCTCCTAGTTCACATATGCGCAGGCCGCTTTTTGCGTTTGATTGGACTCCCGTGCCCCGGGACACGCAGGGAAGAAGTCCCTGCACTTCTTTGGAATCCGCAGCTGAGGTTCGCAGTACGGTTGCGATTTCCACTGCGGGCGGCGCGCCATTAGAATTAATGGCACCCCCCCCGCGGGTCCCGCATTGCCCTGTGCGGGTGGTGCGGCTGCAGCAGCTGTTTTTGTGCGGGTCTCGCAGCCGCACCACCCGCACATATGTGAACGTAGCCCAAGAGCAGTACAACAATGCAGGCCAATTCAAGAAACTAGGCCAGGCCTTGAAATTTCCACTCGCCATTATGGTGGGGGCGAGTGTGTCCCCCAGGGCCGTCTTGCTGAGCAGGCTTGGAGGTCAGGCCGGATCTGTCATTGGCACTGGGAGCCGTCGGACTGCTCAATAGCTGAGTGCAGCGAAAGCAAAGGAAGGAGTTTGTGCTGTGCTCTCTGCCTCCCCCTAGAGTGCAGTACCTGGCTCTGTGAGTGAACAACGAAGTACTGCAACTTTTTATAGGGGGTGTGTGTGTGTCTACCTAATTTCAGCTCACTCTGGTCACATGATCCTCTGTCAGCCAGTGGTGGCTTTAGGGGAGGGGAGAGAGCACTTGACAGCGTGCGTGTGTATCTGTACATGTGTCTGCGTGTATGTACATGTGTGTGTGCATGTACGTTTGTGTGTATGTACGTACATGTGTCTGTGTGTACATGCGTGTGTATGTATGTACATGGGTCTGTGCGTGTGTATTTCTGTGTATGTACGTGTATCTGTGTGTATGCTTGTCTGTACATGCCTGTGTGTATACGTGTGTGTACGTACATGTGTCTGAGTACATGCGTGTGTATGTATGTATGTACATGGGTCTGTGCATGTGTATTTCTGTGTATTTACGTGTGCGTGTCTGTACGTGCCTGTGTGTATACATGTGTCTGTATGTGTGTACATGTGTGTCTGTGCGTGTGTGTGCATGTATGTACATGTCTGTGTGTGTACAGGTGTCTCTGCACTGCCCGAGTTCGCGGGGTCAGTAGGGGCCCCATGAGATGCCCCTGGTATCTTTTTCATAGGCTTTTTTGAGTTTGAGCAAGGACACAGGGGCCCCATGATCCCCTATTGCCCGGGGGCCCCATGAGTTGTCAGTCCACCCCTGGGTATGCCTGCAGTTTTTTACAAAGCAGCCGAATTCCTTGAGTTCAGCTTTAAAGTGTTTTGTTTGTTTTTTTTGTTTTCTTTTTAGTTTGGATATAAGGGAGGGTTATAACCACTGTCAGGTTTTTTGTTGCTATCTGTCTCCCATTGTGGAGATTTCCCTTCACTTCCTGTCCCATAGCCAAAACAGGAAATGAGAGGAAATCCCTCCAAAGTGAATCCTGGGATGTCACCAAAACTAGTGTCCTCATTTGAAGATTTCCCCTCTATTACTTTTTGATGTCAACCCAAAATTTGGGGTTTTGTTTTACTTTCAGTGATAATGGTAGGACAAAAAGAGAGAGTAAATCTACCCAATGGGGACACAGCAATAAAAACTGACAGGGGTTCTAATCCCTCTCCACTCTCTTTATGGGCCTTGTGTGTACTAGTTGGCATCCATGCCCATTGAGAGAAAAAACATTATACAAAGTTCACTAAACCTCATTCCTGTGCTTGGCTCTGGTGTCTTCAGGTATCCAAAGAAGGGTTTGGGTTGTCCTCCTTACTCCCTCAACCGAAGAATGTCCACGGGGGAGACTCCAAACGCCCGCTCCTCCCTTACAACTTCACAAAGAAACCATCTGACCCTCCCAAGGAATCAAAACTTCCCAAGCAGATGTCCAAGCCCAAGCTCACCGCGAGCCCCGAGGTGTCCCACACGCCGTCTCCATCGGCCATCAAAGCAGCAGCCAAGAATGCTGCCCTGCAGGTGACCAAGCAGATCACGCAGGAGGAGGATGAGGAAAGTGACGAAGAGTTCCAACAGGGTAACTTCTTCTCGTTGACGGACAGCAACGAGGCTGCTGTGGCTCCTGATGAGAGCTATACGTATCCGCTTCCCCCAGCGAATGATGACGGCCCTCCAGGGGTCGATCCTGGTCAGTTACAGAACGATGCAGCAAATGCTCCTCTGGAGTTCAAGACAGCAGCTGGACCAAACCTCAACCAACAGTGGTCAGCCACGTCTACAGGAGACTACAGCGGCCAGGAGTACAGCCAATATCCTGAATATAACAACCCACACGCTGCTGCATACTATCAGGTAGGATAATGGGCCAGTCCTCCAAAAAGGAACATTTTTGGTATAGGTGGAGCCTGTTGGGCAGAGTCAGTCCTCGTCTTCTTGTATGCCTTGAATATTCTAACAGAGAGAGCTCCCAACCATAATTCCCAGTGTATTCCTGTCCACCTGGGAGATTTGGGTCTCCCTGTTCTCCTTTGTTCCAGATCCTCCTGTTACTTTCTCTATGTTAGTGGAAGTCCAGCAGGGACGGTGGGAGCTCCTCATCATAGGCACAGCTAGTGTGCAGTCTTGGGAGGTCAGCACAGAGATCTCAATAATAGTCTTCGAGGAATTAAGGAGACTGGAACTATACTCACCTCCACTCCAGCAATCAGTCCGGGGAGACCAGATATAGTGAATGCAGGGTCGGGGGAGACCAGATATAGTGAATGCAGGGTCCGGGGAGACCAGATATAGTGAATGCAGGGTCCGGGGAGACCAGATATAGTGAATGCAGGGTCCGGGAGAGCGGATATAGTGAATGCGGGGTCCGGGGAGACCAGATATAGTGAATGCAGGGTCCTGGGAGAGCGGATTTAGTGAATGCGGGGTCCGGGGAGACCAGATGTAGTGAATGCAGGGTCCGGGCAGACCAGGTATAGTGAATGCAGGATCCGGGGAGACCAGATATAGTGAATGCGGGGTCCTGGGAAAGCGGATTTAGTGAATGCGGGGTCCGGGGAGACCAGATGTAGTGAATGCAGAGTCCTGGGTGAGCGGATTTAGTGAATGCAGGGTCCGGGGGAGACCAGATATAGTGAATGCAGGGTCCAGAGAGATCGGATGTAGTGAATGCAGGGTCCGGGGAGACCGGATATAGTGATCGGAGGTCCGGAGACCGGATGTGACCGAGACCAGATAGTGAAATGCAGAGGTCCTTTGGGTGAGCCGGATTTAGTGAATGCAGCAGGGTCGGGGAATGACCGGATATATAGTGAATACGGGGTCCGGGGGACCGGGTGAGACCGGGAGGATATAGTGAATACGGGGTCCGGGGAGACCGGATATAGTGAATACGGGGTCCAGGGAGACCGGATATAGTGAATGCAGGGTCCAGGGAGACCAGATATAGTGAATGCAGAGTCCTGGGTGAGCGGATTTAGTGAATGCAGGGTCCGGGGAGACCAGATATAGTGAATGCAGGGTCCGGGGAGACCGGATATAGTGAATGCAGGGTCCGGGGAGACCGGATATAGTGAATACGGGGTCCGGGGGACCGGATATAGTGAATGCGGGGTCCGGGGAGACCGGATATAGTGAATACGGGGTCCGGGAGACCGGATATAGTGAATACGGGGTCCGGGGAGGCCGGATATAGTGAATGCAGGGTCCGGGGAGAGCGGATATAGTGAATGCAGGGTCCGGGGAGACCGGATATAGTGAATGCGGGGTCCGGGGAGACCGGATATAGTGAATTCGGGGTCCGGGAGACCGGATATAGTGAATTCGGGGTCCGGGGAGACCGGATATAGTGAATACGGGGTCCGGGGAGACCGGATATAGTGAATACGGGGTCCGGGGAGACCGGATATAGTGAATACGGGGTCCGGGGAGACCGGATATAGTGAATGCAGGGTCCGGGGAGAGCAGGTATAGTTATTGCGGGTTCCGGGGAGACCAGGTATAGTGAATGTAGGGTCCTGGGAGAGCGGATTTAGTGAATGCGGGGTCCGGGCAGACCAGATATAGTGAATGCGGGGTCCTGGGAGAGCGGATTTAGTGAATGCAGGGTCCTGGGAGAGCGGATATAGTGAATGCGGGGTCCTGGGAGAGCGGATATAGTGAATGCAGGGTCCTGGGAGAGCGGATTTAGTGAATGCAGGGTCCGGGGAGAGCGGATATAGTGAATGCAGGGTCCGGGGAGAGCGGATATAGTGAATGCAGAGTCCAGGGAGAGCGGATATAGTGAATGCAGGGTCCGGGGAGAGCGGATATAGTGAATGCAGAGTCCAGGGAGAGCGGATATAGTGAATGCAGGGTCCAGGGAGAGCGGATATAGTGAATGCAGGGTCCAGGGAGAGCGGATATAGTGAATGCGGGGTCCGGGGAGGCCGGATATAGTGAATGCGGGGTCCGGGGAGACCGGATATAGTGAATGCGGGGTCCGGGGAGACCGGATATAGTGAATGCAGGGTCCGGGGAGAGCGGATATAGTGAATGCAGGGTCCAGGGAGAGCGGATATAGTGAATGCAGGGTCCGGGGAGACCAGATATAGTGAATGCAGGGTCTGGGGAGACCGGATATAGTGAATGCGGGGTCCGGGGAGACCAGATATAGTGAATGCGGGGTCCGGGGAGACCAGATATAGTGAATGCGGGGTCCGGGGAGACCAGATATAGTGAATATGGGGTTCGGGGAGATTGGATATAGTGAATGCGGGGTCCTGTGTTTAGTAACACTTTAAGATTTGCAGTCTACTAAGGAATGTATGGGTTCATTTAGCCCTCAAAAATCTTTGGTTTTAAATTCCTCCTGAAAAAAGTCGTGTCTTTCTTGACACGTCATGTCAGTGTACCTTGAATCTCATAGCTGTACATCTTCACTGTGAAATCTAATGTCTCTGGCTGCTGTTCTCCCTGCTAGAGAGGAAGATGTTCTGCTTTATCCATTCTGTGGATCTGTGCTTCCTCCACCCTTCTTGTTTCCTGAACATTCCTCCACCAGTCATCATAGGGGCAAGGCTAACACGAGGAAGCAAACCCTTGCTCCTACCAATATGGCCGACCTCTATAGAGAGACATGGTACAAAACAAGGCATGGTAAGTCCGTAATGGGGAAGAGATCATTTGCAGGTAGTCTATAGGCTGCTGACTATCTTTTTGAGCTAGGGCAAGGCATAGATGACTCTTCTTTTCTGTGGTGGAAGGAAAGAAAATCGCTCAATTTCCCCATCAACACAATGTTGATGGGGGAATCCCTCCTGCAGCACTATTGTGTTCTGCTGATGGTGGAGACTTCCCTGCCGGAGAAACACCGGCTATCGCTGTGGGCAGAAACTGCATGGTAAAAATCTGACAGGCTGGTTGTACCAAGTCGATCGATCAATTTGGGTACAACTAGCCTCCCCATAGATGCATCAAATCTTGGCCAGTCCCTGCTGAACCGGCTGAGATTTGATCCGTCTATGGCTGGCTTTAGCTCAGGTCTTCTTTTGTGTTGTTTTTGACTGGTATGGTTAAATCCAGATTTGTTTGTTCAATTCCTTCATTTTTCCTGCAGCAGGATTATTACAGCAGTGGGTATTATCAGGAGGCGGAGCAGTCATCAGCCACCCAGCGGGACTCCGCAACAAGCGACTCTTTCATGGATGATGAAGCGGTGAGATTTACTTTCATTTTTTTTTTTTTTTTTAATTTTTAGCTGTAGGAAGGAAATGTTTACATTCACATTACCTCTTCTGTGGATGTAGTATGCAGATTGTCCCAGGTACCCTCCCCCCCCCTTCTAATAATTGAATGCTCTTTCCTGGTTGTGACCGTAAATGCTGCGTAGCCACTTCCTGCAAGAGCCATATTGTTTAGACTCCCCTATGTAGTCCTTGAGGCTAGAGAGGTGATGTCAACGTGCTACCTATGCAAATGCTTGGTGGGGTTATATGGATCGCAGTTAACATAGAATCCAAACCAGCCACACCTACCTCCTGAGTCCTCCCTGTAAGAGAATTGCAGCACGCAAATGGTTAGCACTTCCGCCTGGCAGTACTCGGGTCGTCGGTTCAAATTCCAACCACGGCACCTCCTGCCTGGAGTTTGCATGTTCTCCCTGTGCCTGCGTGGGTTTCCTCCGGGTACTCCGGTTTCCTTCCACACTCCAAAGACATGTTGGTAGGTGAATTGGCTTCTGTCTAAATTGGCCCTAGTATGTATGAATGTGAGTTAGGGACCTTAGATCGTATATGTAAAGCGCTGCGTAAATTGACGGCGCTATATAAGTACCTGAAAATAAATTAAAAATTAAATTAACCACATGCCGCCCAGCCACCGCATATAAACGGTGGCAGGGCGGCGCTCGTAGGCAAAAGCACGTTTTAAAACGGCTGCCTTCAAAAAACAGGTAGGGGGCGCGCGCCCGCCCTGCTTGTCCCGCGGGTGTCAGCAGCGGGTCTCCGCCGCCAGGTCGCGGCCGGTTTCTACCGGCCGTTTTCCCACGATGAGCGGTAATCACTGACACAGAGCAGGGCAGCATTGTTTACACACAGCCTGCTCTGTGACAGTTTGCCGACAAGCTGCAGAGGGAGAGAAGAGTTTCTCTCCCTCGATCAGCTCCCCCCTCCCTACCCCCCCCCCCCCCCCCCCCCCCTCCAGTACACACCTCCGCCCCCTAGTAAAACACTCCCCTTACACAGCAAATTCTAAAAATGTTAACCCCTTCCTCCCCAGTGACAGTACAGTTTCAGTGTTTTTTTTTCACTGATCACTGTATTGGTGTCACTGGGGATGTCAGTGACCCCAAGTCAGTTCCCCCCCCAGTGTCAAAATGTCCGCCGCAGTCCCGCCATAAGTCACTGGTCGCCGCTATATGTCGCTGATTGCCGCTATATGTCGCTGATTGCCGCTATATGTCGCTGATTGGCGCCATTATTAGTATAAATAAAAACTAAAAATCCCAGTATCTTTCCCGCCATTTGTAAACGCTATAACTTTCACGTAAACCAATTAATTTACACGTATTGGGTTTTTTTTATAGCAAAGACATGTCGCAGAATGCATTTTGGCAGAAATTTATGAGTAAATTTGATTTTTGCATTTTTTTTTTACTGGACATGTTTTCTAGCAAAAAGTCCAAAATATTGTTTTTTTTTCATCAAAATTGTCAGCCTTTTTTTTTTTATAGCGCAAAAAATAAAAACCGCACAGGCGATCAAATACCACCGAAAGAAAGCTCAATTTGTGGGGAAAAAAAGGATGTAAATTTCATTTATGTACCGTATTGCATGACCGCGCAATTGTCCGTTAAACTAGTGCAGAGCTGTATAGCAGAAAAATGGTGTAAATTGCAGTATCTATACCATAGATTGTAGACGCTATAACTGTCACACAAAGCAATCAATATACACTTATTGGGATTTTTATTACCAAAAACATGGAGCAGAATATATTTTGGCCAAAATTTATAACCAACTTTGAGTTTACTATATATATTTTATAGCAGAAAGTAAAAAATATTGTTTTTCTTCAAAATTTTTGGCCTTTTTTTGTTTATAGCGTTGAAAATAAAAAGCGCACAGGTGATCAAATACCACCGAAAGAAAGCTCTATTTGTGTGTAAAAAAGGACGTAAATTTTGTTTGGGTGCAGCATTGCATGACCGCGCAATTATCAGTTGAATTAGTGCAGCACCGAGTAGCAAAAAGAGGCGTGGTCAGGAAGGGGGGTAAATCCTCAGGAGCTCAAGTGGTTAAACTCTCATGTAGGTTTTTTTGTTTTTGTTTTTTTTTTTTTTTTTTTGTGCAAAACAGACCAATTTAAGATAATAGTACAAAAAATGGCCACTGCCCCAATCTATAACTGGCCTTCACAGCAAGGAGCACATGGAAGGGTGACGCATGTCAAACAATAAAAGAGAAAAAAAAAAGAGAGATTCCCAGCTCAACTTACCGACCAGCCTGTGAACAAACCGAATTATCCTGCCTAATCATATGTATTAACAAACGGGATAGTTAGCACACCTTTGCAAATACATACGTAAGCTGCGGAGCCTCATCATGGGACCCCCATATTCTGCAGTTCCTAACTCTAAATGTTGAGAGCCTCCATAGTAAAAGCACATGTGTAATAATGGATAGGCTGAGGGCAGGTGAGCCTGGAAGGAGCCCACCCCTCCTTAAAGCAGAGCTCCACCCAAAAGGGGAAGTTCCACTTTGACTGCTTCCTCGCTCCCCATTAAGGATTGGCACCTTTGAGGAGCGGGAACCCGAATTTGACAGGTACCCGCTCTCACTTCCGGTCCGACCGTCTAGGCCAGTGGTGGGCAACCTTTTTTTTTCAACTGAGCCAAATCTCGCCAAAACCATGATTGAAATTTATTTTGAGAGCCACATTTTAAAAACTGAAAATACATCTCCCATATAGTAATTCATCCCCCATAGTAATTCATCCCCCATATAGTAATTCACCCCCCATAGTGTAATTCATCCCCCATATAGTAATTCATCCCCCATCGTAATTCATCCCCCATCGTAATTCATCCCCCATAGTAATTCATCCCCCATATAGTAATTCATCCTCCATATAGTAATTCATCCCCCATAGTAATTCATCCCCCATATAGTAATTCATCCCCCATAGTAATTCATCCCCCATATAGTAATTCATCCCCCATAGTAATTCATCCCCCATATAGTAATTCATCCCCCATAGCAATTCATCCCCCGTATAGTATTTCATCCCCCATATAGTATTTCATCCCTCATATAGTATTTCATCCCCCATATAGTAATTCATCCCTCATATAGTATTTCATCCCTCATATAGTATTTCATCCCTCATATAGTATTTCATCCCCCCATATAGTATTTCATCCCCCCATATAGTATTTCATCCCCCCATATAGTATTTCATCCCTCATATAGTAATTCATCCCTCATATAGTATTTCATCCCTCATATAGTAATTCATCCCTCATATAGTAATTCATCCCTCATATAGTATTTCATCCCTCATATAGTATTTCATCCCTCATATAGTAATTCATCCCTCATATAGTATTTCATCCCCCCATATAGTAATTCATCCCTCATATAGTATTTCATCCCTCATATAGTAATTCATCCCCCATATAGTAATTCATCCCTCATATAGTAATTCATCCCTCATATAGTATTTCATCCCCCATATAGTATTTCATCCCCCCATATAGTATTTCATCCCCCATATAGTAATTCATCCCTCATAAAGTAATTCATCCCTCATAAAGTAATTCATCCCTCATATAGTATTTCATCCCCCCATATAGTATTTCATCCCTCATATAGTAATTCATCCCTCATATAGTATTTCATCCCTCATATAGTATTTCATCCCTCATATAGTATTTCATCCCCCCATATAGTAATTCATCCCTCATAAAGTAATTCATCCCTCATATAGTATTTCATCCCCCACAGTACTATCCCCCCCTTCTAGTAAGCCAAGTCCCCCGTGTCAATTCACTTACCTTTTGCGTTCCTCTCGCTGTCTTCCCGCGCCGTTCGGGGTCTTCAGGGCGGACTGTGAGAGGAGCCTAGCTCCCCTCCCCTCACGTTCGGCACGCTGCCCCCTACACACACATCCTGACAGCCACATCCGCGGGCCGGATTAAAAGGTCCGCGCGGACTTTTGGGGCTGCCAAACGAGAGGAGGCAGGGGAGCGGCCCCCGACCGAGAGGAGGGAGGGGAGCAGGCGCCCGGCACACAGAAGAGCCGCATTAGAGTGGGTAAAGAGCCGCATGTGGCTCGCGAGCCGCGGCTTGCCGACCACTGGTCTAGGCGATCAGAAATGGAAGGTGTCCTCCCTCCCTCCTTGTAGTCTTTTGGGACACGTGACAGAAGACTACAGGACCATTCACGAAGCGCAGCGCTTCTCGCACATGTGCAGTGGGCTCTCGGCTGTGAAGTCGTAAGCTATCACAGCCGGGTGCCCACACTGAAGATGCCGGCCTCCTGGAATACAGGACGGCCGGTGAAACGAGCTGCGGGGGACACACCACGGGACTGAGGGACAGGTAAGTGGCTGTTTTTTAAAAGTCAGCAGCAGCTACAGTTTTTGTAGCTGCTGACTTTTATTTTTTGATAGGGTGAGTGCAACTCCGCTTTAACCACTTCCAGTCCGGACACTTTCCCCCCCCTTCCAGTCTGGACACTCCCCCCCCCCCTTCCAGTCCGGACACTTCCCCCCCCCCCCCCCCCCCCCCCCCCCCCCCCCCCCCCCCCCCCCCCCCCTTCCTGTCCAGGCCAATTTTCAGCTTTCAGCGCTATCACACTCTGAATGACAATTGCGCGGTCATGCAACACTGTACCCATATGAATTGTTTAGCATTTTTTTGAGACCGATAAAACTTTATTTTGGTGGTATTTATTCACCACTGGGATTTTTATTTTTTTTGCTATATAAAGGAAAAAGTCCAAACATTTTGATAAAAAAAAGGGTTTTTCTTATAAAATTTTGCAAATAATCTTTCTTCGTAAATCTTGGCCAAAATGTATTCAGTTATCTTTTTAGTAAAAAAAAAAATAACACAAATTAGTTTATATCCAAACATTATTTATTATATTTATTTATTTTTTTTACATTTTTATTTTATTTTTTTATATTTGTTTTTTTTTGTTTTTTTAACATGCTGTCATCCTAGCAGTACAGTGTCACCATAGTCGCTGCTTGTGGGGGGTGATGAAGATTTTTTTTCTTTTTTTGCACTGATTGCTTTTACACCCATAAAAGCAATAATTTCTCCTTCTCTCTACCCCCCCTTTACCCCCCCCTTCCTAACAAGACCATTTTTTGCGTTACGGCAATGCGTTACTTTAACTGACAATTGCTCGGTCATGACACACTGCACCCAAATGAAATGTATTACCTTTTTTTTTTTCCCATGAATTGAGCTTTCTTTTGGTGGTATTTGATCACCTGTGCGTTTTTTTTTTTTTTATTTTTTGCACTCTAGAAAAAAAAAAATTTTTTGAGAAAAAAAATATTTTTTACTTTTTGCTATTAAACATGTCCAGTAAAAAAAAAAAAATTTCAATCCAATTTTGTCATAAATTTAGGCTAACATGTATTCTGCTCCATGTCTCTGCTAAAAAAAAACAAAAACCCCAATACATGTAAATTATTTGGTCTACGTGAAAGTTATAGCGTTTACAAATGGCAATATATATACTGGAATTTTTTTGTTTTGTTTTTACTAGTAATGACGGCGATCAGCGACTTATAGCAGGACTGAGGCGGGCATTCTGATACTGGGGGGTTCTGACTTGGTGTCACCAAGATCCCCAGTGACACCAATACAGTAATCAGTGCCAAAAAAAAAAGCACTGACACTACTAATGGCACTGGGAAGGAAGGGGTTAATATGGGGCGATCAAAGGGTTAACTGTGTGCTTTGTTTACATAGTGGGCTGTGTCCGTGTTTCACTGTAAGCACACTGCATGGCCATACAAAGCAGTATGCAGGAGCTGACAGGCGAGAGAACTGTATGGTTTACAAACAGTTCTCCCCCTCTGTCGGAGACGCTCGGCAATCACCGGACGCCGGGGCGTAATCACCGGGCGCCGGGGCGTAATCACCGGCCGGGACCCTGTGATTGACAGCCGAGGCCGCGAATGGAGGCACATTTAGGGGAACGGCCCAGTGACACCAGTGCAGTAATCAGTGCTAAAAAAAAAAGCACTGACATTGTACTAATGACACTGGGCAGGAAGGGGTTAACATGAGGGGCGATCAAAGGGTTAACTGTGTGCTGGGTGTGTTTTATTGGGGGTGGTGTCTGTGTGCTTCACTGTAAAGACACTGCTTTGGATGGCTGTGCTGTGCAAAGCCATCCAGAGCAGTGCACCCGAGCTGACAGGGAGGAGGACTGTTAGTAAACAAAACAGTTCTCCTTCCCATCAGAGATCCTCGTAATCGCCGTGCGACGCCGAGTAATCACCGGCCAGGACCCGGTGATCGACGGCATGGCCGCGACCATTTCCTACTTGGAAATGCAGAATCCTGTGTGTATCTACGTGATTTTGTGCACCTTGTAGCAGTATTTCTGCTATAGGCTGGTCGGGAAGCGGTTAATCATCTGACAGCGATTAATAAGGTGAGGAAACCTCAGAGATACTTATTGCGGGTCCTTGTGATTAATTACAGTTCAAGCGTCTTCAAGGAAAGCGGAATCGGGAAGAGAGGAAATTAACTTTGTGGAGATTAAAGGTGACGACCAGCTCAGCGGAAACCAGCAGTGGCTGACCAAGTCCCTGACGGAGGAGAAAAACATGAAGTCTTTCAGCAAGGTAAGGACTACGTCACGGGTGTCAAACTGGCGGCCCTCCAGCTGTTGCCAAACTACAAGTCCCATGAGGCATTGCAAGACTGACAGCTACAAGCATGACTCCCAAAGGCAGAGGCATGATGGGACTTGTAGTTTCGCAACAGCTGGCGGCCCTCCAGCTGTTGCCAAACTACAAGTCACATGAGGCATTGCAGGACTGACAGTTACAAGCATGACTCCCAAAGGCAGAGGCATGATGGGACTTGTAGTTTTCGCAACAGCTGGCGACCCTCCAGCTGTTGCCAAACTACAAGTCCCATGAGGCATTGCAGGACTGACAGCTACAAGCTTGACTCCCAAAGGCAGAGGCATGATGGGACTTGTAGTTTCGCAACAGCTGGCGGCCCTCCAGCTGTTGCTAAACTACAAGTCCCATGAGGCATTGCAAGACTGACAGCTACAAGTATGACTCCCAAAGGCAGAGGCATGATGGGACTTGTAGTTTCGCAACAGCTGGAGGGCCGCCAGTTTGACACCCCTGGTCTATGTGAATGTGAAAACAGAGACAGAATTACTTGCTAACCATCACAGATTTGCTGAATTTTTCTGTATGTCTCTTCCCGTATCTAGAAAAAAGGGGATCAGCCAACCGGACAACAACGACGGAAACATCAGATCACCTACCTGATCCACCAGGTGAGTTGTATACTTTGAGGTTGACTTTTCCTTACTCCTGTACAGGTAAGCGATACATAAAACAACCACAACATATAGAGATGTATTTCATAGCAGCTGAGTTTAGGTGTGACAATTTATACATATACACATTGGGCCAGCTTGGACCAATATACAGGTGAAACCCGAAAAATGAGAATATGGTGCAAAAGTTCATTTATTTCAGTGCAGCAACTTAAAAGGTGAAACTAATATATGAGATAGACTCATTACATGCAAAGCAAGATAGTTCAAGCCGTGATTTGTCATCATTGTGATGATTATGGCTTACAGCTCATGAAAACTCCAAATCCACAATCTCAGAAAATGAGAATATTGTGCAAATGTGGAATATTATCGGCTCAAAGTGTCCCACTCTGATCAGCTCATTCAGCCATAACACCTGCAAAGGGTTCCTGACGGGATATTTTTACAGCGGCTGTTTTTGGCTTTTGATGTTTTTTTTCTATAGCCAGTAAACCCCCCGGCATGTTCTCCTATGTGTCCATCCCCGGCATGTTCTCCTATGTGTCCATCCCCGGCATGTTCTCCTATGTGTCCATCCCCAGCATGTTATCCTACGTGTCCATCCCCGGCATGTTCTCTTATGTGTCCATCCCCAGCATGTTCTCCTATGTGTCCATCCCCGGCATGTTCTCCTATGTGTCCATCCCCGGCATGTTCTCCTATGTGTCCATCCCCAGCATGTTCTCCTATGTGTCCATCCCCGGCATGTTCTCCTATGTGTCCATCCCCGGCATGTTATCTTATGTGTCCATCCCCGGCATGTTATCTTATGTGTCCATCCCCGGCATGTTCTCCTATGTGTCCATCCCCGGCATGTTATCCTATGTGTCCATCCCCGGCGTGTTTTCCTAGGTGTCCATCCCCAGCATGTTATCCTAGGTGTCCATCCCCGGCATGTTATCCTATGTGTCCATCCCCGGCATGTTATCCTGTGTGTCCATCCCCGTCATGTTATCCTAGGTGTCCATCCCCGGCATGTTATCCTAGGTGTCCATCCCCGGCATGTTATCCTAGGTGTCCATCCCCGGCATGTTATCCTAGGTGTCCATCCCCGGCATGTTATCCTAGGTGTCCATCCCCGGCATGTTATCCTACGTGTCCATCCCCGGCATGTTATCCTACGTGTCCATCCCCGGCATGTTATCCTACGTGTTCATCCCCGGCATGTTATCCTATGTGTCCATCCCCGGCATGTTATCCTGTGTGTCCATCCCCGTCATGTTATCCTAGGTGTCCATCCCCGGCATGTTATCCTAGGTGTCCATCCCCGGCATGTTATCCTAGGTGTCCATCCCCGGCATGTTATCCTAGGTGTCCATCCCCGGCATGTTATCCTATGTGTCCATCCCCGGCATGTTCTCCTAGGTGTCCATCCCCGGCATGTTATCCTGTGTGTCCATCCCCGGCATGTTATCCTGTGTGTCCATCCCCGGCATGTTATCCTGTGTGTCCATCCCCGGCATGTTTTCCTACGTGTCCATCCCCGGCATGTTTTCCTACGTGTCCATCCCCGGCATGTTATCCTACGTGTCCATCCCCGGCATGTTATCCTACGTGTCCATCCCCGGCATGTTCTCCTAGGTGTCCATCCCCGGCATGTTATCCTACGTGTCCATCCCCGGCATGTTATCCTGTGTGTCCATCCCCGGCATGTTTTCCTAGGTGTCCATCCCCGGCATGTTATCCTACGTGTCCATCCCCGGCATGTTATCCTACGTGTCCATCCCCGGCATGTTATCCTACGTGTCCATCCCCGGCATGTTATCCTACGTGTCCATCCCCGGCATGTTTTCCTAGGTGTCCATCCCCGGCATGTTTTCCTAGGTGTCCATCCCCGGCATGTTATCCTAGGTGTCCATCCCCGGCATGTTATCCTATGTGTCCATCCCCGGCATGTTATCCTACGTGTCCATCCCCGGCATGTTATCCTACGTGTCCATCCCCGGCATGTTCTCCTAGGTGTCCATCCCCGGCATGTTATCCTACGTGTCCATCCCCGGCATGTTATCCTACGTGTCCATCCCCGGCATGTTCTCCTAGGTGTCCATCCCCGGTATGTTATCCTACGTGTCCATCCCCGGCATGTTCTCCTAGGTGTCCATCCCCGGCATGTTATCCTACGTGTCCATCCCCGGCATGTTATCCTAGGTGTCCATCCCCTGGCATGTTATCCTAGGTGTCCATCCCCGGCATGTTCTCCTAAGTGTCCATCCCCGGCATGTTCTCCTAAGTGTCCATCCCCGGCATGTTATCCTAGGTGTCCATCCCCGGCATGTTATCCTATGTGTCCATCCCCGGCATGTTATCCTAGGTGTCCATCCCCGCATGTTCTCCTAGGTGTCCATCCCCGGCATGTTTTCCTACGTGTCCATCCCCGGCATGTTATCCTACGTGTCCATCCCCGGCATGTTCTCCTAAGTGTCCATGCACACACAGACTGTAATCAGCATTTTTTGGCTGAAAAAAAACCCCAAAACTAGTGCATTTGTAGAGGAGTTTTTTTAGCTGTAAAAACGCTCTTAACGCGGCACAACGTGGTAAAATGCCACAAACCGGCATTTTTGGATTTTGTTTTTGCTAAAAAAATAATTTTTTGGTAAAAACACAAGTGCGGGAAAACACTGCTAATCGCGACAAAACACTGCAAACCGCTAATGCAAAGGCACTAAAAGAAGCTGAAAAACTCAGGTTTTTAATGTGACTTTACACAGCTAACATTACCAGCGTTATCAAAACATCCAGTGTGCATGAGGACTAACGCTGAAACATGTGGTAAAATGCCGCAAACCGCCTCTTTCGGGCTTTTTTTGACCGAAAAAAAAAATTTTTGGTAAAAACGCTGAAAAACATAAATGCTGGAAAATGCTGCTAATCGCCAGAAAACACCACAAAACGCTAATGAAAAGGTGTTAAAAAAAAGCTGAAAAACTCACTTTTTTAACGCGACTAAAATACACACACTGATACCAATTTAAAAAAAAAAAAAAAAAATCCTGACCTTTAAGCTTGACCTTTGACCCTGACCCTGACCTTGACCCAAACACCCTGGCACTGAACTAGATCAAATCTTGATCTATGTATTTTTTTTCTTTATTTTTTCTTTTCTTTTTTAATATTTGTTTATCTTTTTTTTTTTTTTTTTTTTTAACAAACTTTTTTTTTTCCTCTATGCCAGGAGTTAGAGAGTTACAATGTATCTCTCTCCTCCATTCATAGGAAAAAAAAAATAAAAATGGTGGGCGGGCTATACAGTGACTGATTACTGTGATAGCCAATCAGAGGCTATCACAGCGATCATGTGACCCGGAATCGGGAGTCCCGGGTCCCACTCGTTAGAATCAGGACCTGGGACTCCCGATTCTGGGTCACATGTGCGCTCCCAGCACAAAGACCAGGGTGTCACTGAGAGTCCCGGGTCCCGATCTTTAGAATGGGACTCGGGGCTCTCAGTGACACCAGCCAATCAGAGGCTATCACAGAGATCATGTGACCCGGAATCAGCATCCCCGGGTCCTGATCGTTAGAATCAGGACCTGGGACACCCGATTCTGGGTCACATGTGCGCTCGCAGCACAAAGACCAGGGTGTCACTAAGGGGTTTATTTACTAAAGCTGGAGAGTCCAAAATCAGACTCCCTTCTGCATAGAAACCAATCAGCTTCCAGGTTTCATTGCCAAAGCTTCATTGAACAAGCTGAGGTTAGAAGCTGATTGGTTTCTATGCAGAAGGGAGTCTGATTTTGGACTCTCCAGCTTTAGTAAATAAACCCCTAAGAGTCCCGGGTCCCGATCTTTAGAATGGGACCAGGGGCTCTCAGTGACACCAGCCATTTAGAGGCTATCACAACGATCATGTGACCCGGAATCGGCAGCCCCGGGTCCTGATCGTTAGAATCAGGACCTGTGACTCCCGATTCTGGGTCACGTCGCTCCCAGCATAAAGACCATGTTGTCACTGAGAGTCCCGGGTCCTGATCTTTAGAATGGGACCCGGGGCTCTCAGTGACACCAGCCGATCAGAGGCTATCACAGCGGTCATGTGACCCGGAATCGGGAGTCCCGATCCTTAGAATCAGGACCTGGGACTCCTGATTCTGGGTCACGTGCGCTCCCAGCACAAAGACCAGAGTGTCACTGAGAGTCCCGGGTTTCCGCTCTTTAGAATGAGACCCGGGGCTCTCAGTGACACCAGCCGATCAGAGGCTATCACAGCGGTCATGTGACCCGGAATCGGGAGTCCCGATCCTTAGAATCAGGACCTGGGACTCCTGATTCTGGGTCACGTGCGCTCCCAGCACAAAGACCAGAGTGTCACTGAGAGTCCCGGGTTTCCGCTCTTTAGAATGGGACCCGGGGCTCTCAGTGACACCAGCCGATCAGAGGCTATCACAGCGATCATGTGACCCGGAATCAGGGGTCCCGATTGTTAGAATCAGGACCTTGGACTCCTGATTCTGTGTCACGTGCGCTCCCAGCACAAAGACCAGAGTGTCACTGAGAGTCCCGGGTCCTGCTCTTTAGAATGGGACCCGAGGCTCTCAGTGACACCAGGGGCGGACTGACCATTTGGAAACTCAGGCACTGCCCGAGGGCCCGGGGTCAGTAGGGGGCCCCATGAGATGCCCCTGGTACCTTTTTCATAGGCTTTTTTGCGTTTGGGCAAGGACACGGGCCCCATGATCCCCTATTGCCCAGGGGCCCCATGAGTTGTCACACCCCTGAGTGACACCCTGGTCTTTGTGCTGGGGGGCGCACTCCCAGCACAAAGAAAGGTACGCAAATATACGGCCCCTCGGAAAAAAACCCAGTCCTGTGAGGCCGCATATTTGTGTGTGGGGTTAAACACGTGTCTGCGATGTTGTCTATAAATGTACCTTGGTGGATAAGTGGGTAAGAAGGGCAAGCTGGTATGGTCATTGGAGCCCACATGTATGATGATTCTCCCTGACAACTCACAACATTGGTCAGATGACCGACTTGACTGCCGCTGTTCCCTCAATCCTTTTCCATTTCCTTCTCAGGCCAAAGAGCGGGAGCTGGAGCTGAAGAACACTTGGTCCGACAACAAGCTGAGCCGGCGACAGACACAAGCCAAGTACGGTTTCTAGCGGAGCGTGCGCAGCGACGGGTGACTTCCAGCGACCACACAAGTTTTTTCCTCCTCCCCCCCCGTGCGCGGTTGAGAATCCAAAACAACTCCTGCCAAGCGTACACAGATTGGCCAATACCACCACTTAAGTTATTTAACCGCAAACTCCGCTCCGCGTATTCATGTGATTCTCTGTGACTCTGCAGTGCCAGATTTGCCGTATTCTGCTTGGGACGGATAAAGAATCGTTTTCCCTGTAAAATATGTGAATGAGGGGGACATGGGACTTTTCCACGTTTTGTTTATAGGCCCGCCCCTGCTTTTACATTTAATTCCTAGTGCCGATTTCTCCTCCAAATTTCCTCCTTTCTTACTCATCACTCGCTGCTGCTGTACAATGAAACCTTTGTAGGCTACATAGCGTGGGGGAAGCCATTTTGTACTTTTAAAGTGTCTCCCTCTAAGGTGAAGGTCAGCTGCTGCTACATGGGCACCATTGTATGTCAGTGTTATTTTTTTTTAAGGGCTTCACTATATATAATAAATACAAATTTCACCCCCTGCTCTGTTTATACGCAAACACCAAGGCTCCATCCTTTCTGTTCTACTGAGCTGGGGCCCTTTAAATGCCAATGTTCGGGCTGCAATGCCAAGTTTTTGTTGCAGGGGGAGCTGCAGACAAGGAAATGATGGCTGCTAATAAAAGACGGAAGGTATGTTCTCTTACTTAGAGGTTAAGTTCACCTTTGGGAATGTGGTACATGTTCCACCTGTTTTTAGGGTTGGACATGTAAAATGTTCCCATAGCCGCAGGCCCCCCCCCCTCCCTCTGACAGATAGTATGGGAAAACTTCTCCCTGTACTATCTGTCAAATTTGAAAACAGCATGGCTCCGCCCACATGGCCGTGTCACTCATTCACAGACTTCCGCCAATGAATGAACTGCAAGTCCCAACAGCCATATCTGCTGTGTGCTGGTAGTTTTCAATGAACTACCTGTGGAGCGCCGTGGTAGTTCATTGAAGCTTCCTGTCAGAGTATCTGCTTGGCTGAACATCCAGTACGCCCTGTACCCCCCCATACATCCCATACGCCCCATACCCCCCGTACATCCCATACCCCCCGTACATCCCATACCCCCCGTACATCCCATACCCCCCGTACATCCCATACCCCCCGTACATCCCATACCCCCCGTACATCCCATACATCTCATACCCCCCGTACATCCCGTACATCCCATACATCTCATACCCCCCGTACATCCCGTACCTCCTCATACATCCCGTACATCTCGTACCTCCTCATACATCCCGTACATCTCATATTCCCCATACATCTCATACCTCCTCATACATCCCGTACATCTCGTACTCCCCATACATCCCATATATCCTGTACATCTCGTACCCCCCATACATCTCATACATCCCGTACCCCTCTTAAATCCTGTACATCTCGTACCCCCCATACATCCCGTACCCCTCATAAATCCTGTACATCCCGTACCCCCCATACATTTCATACATCCCGTACCCCCCATACATTTCATACATCCCGTACCCCCCATACATTTCATACATCCCGTACCCCTCATACATCCCGTACCCCTCATACATCCCGTACCCCTCATACATCCCGTACCCCTCATACATCCCGTACCCCTCATACATCCCGTACCCCCCATACCCCCCATACATTTCATACATCCCGTACCCCCCATACATTTCATACATCCCGTACCCCCCATACATCTCATACATCCCGTACCCCTCATACATCTCATACATCCCGTACCCCTCATACATCCCGTACTCCCTCATACATCTCATACATCCCGTACCCCTCATACATCCCGTACCCCTCATACATCCCGTACCCCTCATACATCCCGTACCCCTCATACATCCCGTACTCCCTCATACATCCCGTACTCCCTCATACATCCCGTACTCCCTCATACATCCCGTACTCCCTCATACATCCCGTACTCCCTCATACATCCCGTACTCCCTCATACATCCCGTACTCCCTCATACATCCCGTACTCCCTCATACATCCCGTACTCCCTCATACATCCCGTACTCCCTCATACATCTCATGCATCCCGTACCCCTCATACATCTCATACATCCCGTTCCCCTCATACATCTCTTACCCCCCATACATCTCATACATCCCGTACCCCTCATGCATCCCGTACCCCTCATGCATCCCGTACCCCTCATGCATCCCGTACCCCTCATGCATCCCGTACCCCTCATGCATCCCGTACCCCTCATGCATCCCGTACCCCTCATGCATCCCGTACCCCTCATGCATCCCGTACCCCTCATGTATCCCGTACCCCTCATGCATCCCGTACCCCTCATGCATCCCGTACCCCTCATGCATCCCGTACCCCTCATGCATCCCGTACCCCTCATACATCTCTTACCCCCCATACATCTCATACATCCCGTACCCCTCATACCCCTCATACATCCCGTACCCCCATACATCTCGTACCCTTCATACATTCCGTACCCCCCATACATCTCCTACGTCCCGTAAGGCAAGCAGATATTCTGACAGGTTTGTGGGAGATCTGCGTGGCATCAGCCATTTACTGATCGCCGGTGCAACGCTTTCCAGGCTTCTGTAGACAAAAATAATAAATGCATTTTTACCTGCAAAAAAATGTGCATTTATTATTTTTGTCTAAAAGGTGAACTTCTCCTTTAACACAATGGCAGCAAACAAATGGTTGTCTCTCTTTGCCCTCACTCCTACCTTAGGCTAGGTTCAAATCCGTGCAGCCGCACCACCCGCACAGAGGAATTCGGACCCGTCGGCGGGTGCCATTAGTTCTAATGGCTTGCCACCCGCACTGGAAAACGCAACTGTACTGGGAACCGAGGTTCTCGTGTGGGCTGTGTTTTCGGAAGAAGTGCAGAGACTTCTTCCCTGCATGGCACGGGAGTCCATTCAAATGAATGGGCTCTCGTGCCCGCGCAAAACGCGGCCCGCACGGCCGCATATATGTGAACCCGGGGCTCATAGGACCCCAAAAATATGAGACTACTCCAGGCTGAGTGTTCTTTTTGTCCTCCTTCCAGTCTTTGTCCGGAGCCAATCATTTTGGCTGCGGTTAGCTGCAGGAGCTGTCGGCCTCTTCTTGCTTTCAATGGGGCTGCCGCCCACGGCTAATCGCCAGGAACCCCCTCTGGGTCTCCTGAGTGTAATTGCTAATGGCCCCATTTACAAGTTTAAATGGGCCCCAAGTGCTGTTGCAGCTGGGATTGCAATGCCAAGTTTTTATTGTAGGGGGAGCTGCAGGCAATGAAATTGTGGCTGCCATTGAAATACAGAAACTATATATATGCACATATACAATATGTGTGTATGGGATGAGTAGCATTTTCTCGCTGCCTTTTCACAACTCTAGACTCGGAACCAGAAGCGCAGCTTTTATTAATGCTGGATTCCTAAAACTGTTACTAACCCCCTTAAAAAGCTAGTTGCTAGTAGGCTATCAATGCCTTTTAGGACTTACCTCGCCTCTAGCGATGTGGCATCCCCAAGCTTCCCGCCTGCCTGCTAACCTCTTCAGGCGTCCAGCTTCTGGGTCCCGTCTGCTTTAATTGGCTAGGCAGGGATGACTTCACTCCTGGGCTCAGTCACATTCGGCATTGCCACAATTGTACCATGAGCTGCGCGTGCGTGTCTCTGTGCAGGGTTGACAGGCAGTTAACTTCAATGCAGAAGAGAAGAAAACATGTCTCTTCTGCATTACAAATCCGGCCTGTCCGCCCGGTTTTAACTTTGGCCTACAATTCTATTTGAAGTCACTGGCTCGGAACAAGCATGTTGAAAGTGAAATCATAACATACAACCTGCATGCTTGCTCCAGATTAGTCATTATTAATGTGGCATTATCAGGAGATGCAGCAATGGCAGCCTACTCTCTTCCCTGGGATTCTCTCAAAGTGAGTCCGTTTTGCAGGGTAAAGCAAAAGGTCACTGAAAGCGACTCTGAAAACACAGAAACAAAGCAATCTCTGCAAATGCAAGATTTTAGCTGTCTATTGCCGCCAAAGAATCTTCATTGTTGGACATATTTCTGGGCATGTTGGATACCTGGGTTCCTTGTCGTCCGCTGTGGTCCCTCCTGCTGGCTCCTATGTCAGTCTTGTCTCCTGTAGTGTTATAGGTGTCAGTGGATAGGGCCACAGGGAACAAATATCTGACACACCCAGAAGTGTCAGTTGCAGGGAATGCTTTGATTTAATATAGTGACAGTTGTGCCCAGTCCTCCTGTTCCTACTTTTACCATCCCTTTGTGAAAGGAAATACCTGGATCCAGAGTATTGGGAGCATGTGAGTCCTTCACCCTTCTGTGGTTTCAGTGGGTGTCAGAGCAGCCAGTCGCCAGGCACAATTGCTATCACATGGGGGGGGAAGGCAGCATATGTAGCCCTTAGTATTTTCTTACAGAGCCAGTTGGAGCGTACCCAGGGCAAGCTGGCCGTAGATTATTCAAAATTCAGCCTCCGTATTACATAGTTTTGGTATCCAGGATTGTATAATGTATGGCTAGCTTAACCTCTTCCTGCCCAGTCCTGGCGTCCTTTTATCTGGGTCTTTCTGTCTGAGGAGGGGGAAGGATGACGTGATCACTTATTGGCTGTCACAGTGGTCACACAATCGGGTCCATCCTGCCGACTCCTGATCATTTACTAGAGACCGGTAGCTGGTTTTGACAGCTTGGGCACTGTGCTGGGGTCGCTGAGTGAACGAGCTCTCCGCACAGGAACTGGGGTCATCCACATGTGTGAATTGTGGGCATTAAAGCCCACCCTCATAACATTTAAATTTCTGCTTTCAGTCATCTAGATCAGGGGTTTCCAAACTACGGCCCTCCAGGTGTTGAGGAACTGAGGCCCTGCAAGACTCTGACAGCCACAGGCAAGACTCGCAGAGGCATGATGGGACTTGCAGTACTTAAACAGCTGGAGGGCTATAGTTTGGAGACCCCC